TTCTCTTAGATGGATGGCCTTACAAGGCTGACGAGCTCCATCTGCCCGGGGGGTTGGGAATCGAACCCAGGTCACAGTGGTGAGAGTCCTGCACCCTAACCACTAGACCACCAGAGGCCCACGGGGTGTAGTCCCTCAGGAATGGACTTCTGGTTTCTCCATGGATCATAAGTCCTGCCAGCAAACTGGCAATGTGGGATCCTCTGTCCACAGAGCCACAGGTCCTGTCAGGAGACTGCTATAGCACGGCCTTCCCACAGGGTGACAGCCTCCTTTGGGCATTCCCCTGTTCTGGCATGGGTTGCAGGTGGATCTCTGCTCCCCACAGACCTTCATGTGGTGCAGGGTGACAGACTATCTCACCACAGTCTGCACCACAGGCTGCAGGGGAATCTCTGCTCTGTTGGAGCACCTCCTCCACCTTCGTCTTCACTGACCTTGGTGTCTGCAGGGCTGTTCCTCTCACATATTCCCACTTCTCTCTTCTGCAGCCACAATTATTCCTGCACAATAATTTTTCTTCCTTCTTAAATATGTTATCACTAAGGCATCATCATTGCTGATGGGCTCAGCCTTGGCCAGTGGCAGGTCCATCTTGGAGCCGGCTGGCATTGGCTCTGTTGGACATGGAAGAAGCTTCTAGCTGAAGCTTTTAGCTGCTTCTCAGATATGCCAACCCTGTAGCCCCCTCCAGTAGCAGAGGCTTGCCACACAAACACAATACCTCTGGTTTTGTTGGGATGCCAGACAAGTAAATCATAATGGGACTACTTCTCGTGGCAGTGCAAATTGCATAATCTAAGTTCATTTGTAGCTTTGTCACGTGCTACACTGCACTTTTCCCTTCTCTACTTGGTAGCAAATACAAAACCATGTTAGAGGGCTACAAATTATCATTTTCACAAATGAAGAGGAACTTTTAATTGTTCAGATCTTACTGAAATCATGTTACACGTGGTTATTAATTTTTCACTAATGCAATGTTAGTACAAGAAGATAACAGAAAAAAAAGTTGGAATATTTTAGAGAAATAACTGTATATCAAAAGATACTTCACCAGGGAGGAGGAATTAACAATGCATTCTCTTCAATGTCTTTATGAGAGCATATTTGTGGCTTAGGACAGAAAATTAATTCTTTAAATGGCTCTTCAAAGAGCCAGTGTGAATCCAGTGAGGTATACACAAGAAAACTGTACTAAAATTTTGTCCACAGGCCATAGCACAAGTATGGTAACATTAATGCTCAATTCAGATGGCCCTGGATGAAAGATAAGTAAAAACAGTGCAGTAAGGAAAAAAAAACATATCAGTGCAGCCAGCTGACACTGTGAAAGGCTGCAAAATCCATTCCTGCAAATAAGCAGAAAACTTGACATCATATTCACAGTGAACGGATTCGTTCTATGTGTAGGGGGAACTACATGCAAAAGGTGCATAATCAGTAAGATCAACACCTGCAATTTTGGGACTACAGCATCCTGACAATTGGTTGCTAGTCTCTGAATTTAGGACTTCATGACATATAACAACTTTAACCATATAGTCTGGCACAATGGTTAAAGAACAGAAAAGTGTGCAGTGAAAAGGAGATATTAGCATCAATAACATGTACAATTAGAGAAACCTGCTGACAAATGCAGTCATTCTAAAGTAAGGTCTCCATGGCCAAACACAACAGTGCCATGGAAAAGGTTAAAATTTAGAATGAAAATGCAGAATAAGGAAAAGAAAAATCTAACAAATTCTACTAACAAATAACAGCCAACTATACTGAACTCTGGAAAACAAAATTTCTGTTGTAATTTTAAAAACACTGAATATTTTTAATTTTGCAATTTTAGAACAAGAGATATGAAGCTCAGAAACAGCATTAACTTACACAAAAAACCAAAATAATCTTTTAACTGTACCAGATCTTTTCCAAAAAGCAGAACTGACAGCTGGCATTTTTTTGTAGTCACTGCTTATTCAACAAAATCATCCAAAGCTTATCCCATAGTGATTCAAAAGCACAAGTTTAAACAAACATATTTTTTTGCTGAGATTTGGAGCCAAGATTAACAGTATGGAGAATAAAAAAAGAGAGCAGGGAAAATTGGGTTTTTTTTCAACAGTGACTAGAGCTTTGTTAATTCAAGGGTAAAATATATTCAGAAGACAGGTTTGAATAATAAGTTTAGATGATTACTTTTTTTTGCCAACCAAAATGTTTTACTACACTTCCTGTGCTAAGACAAAAAAATGGTTCTCAAGGACTGTCACTGCTTCAATGTTAACATCTAAGACAGTGTCACTGTCGATCACAGCTTGCAAAGTACTGTCCCACCGTGTGAAAAGTATAATTAATACTTTACCACTAATTCTGCAGTCTTTAACAGATCACTTCTGGCATTGTAGTGAATAATTATTAGAATCATTCAAGAACAAAGAGCCATATTGTGTAGCCAAATTTGGGATCATCATAAGTTTCATGCAGTGGTAACTTTAGTCACATTGTCATACAGTATCTGCCTGTCCTACTGTATGCATCCAAAGTTTGTGTGCTCCAGGACAGTCCTCTTAAAAATGAGAATAGTGTAAGCTACTACAAACTTTGACACCAGGCAATCCATCTTTTAACTTTGGTCAGGGAAAAGAGAAATAAACATATATAACATTCAGTTTAGTGGGTCTAGAAGGCAAGGGAGTCACATGAGAGCAAGCTGATACTGGAATATGGCTGAATATTACTTATCAACAAAGAGTAAAATCCAGTCTGATGCAACATGAAAAGAAAATAGATTTCTCACCTTGCTCCAGCAATAAGCTCTTTTTGTCCTGGGTCAAATGTTAACTGTGAGAAGTCCACAGCATCTTCTGCTTTGAACACATGTAACCAAGGGGCAATTTCTAAAATCAATCAAGAAATACAACTGTTACTATAAATGTTCTAGATGTAGTACATCAGGTACCATTAAATTTGCAGATATGGTGGGGCTGCAAGTTTTCTCCATATGGTTCTCTAAGGAAACATAGGAGACTTTCACCACCATGCCATGTAATTTATAACACAGGTCTGTAAAATATATAGAGCAGCCACCCAACACACACTTGAACAAAGTATCCATATTTTGGTCTCATTTGTAAGCCAGATATGTTTTTCCTCCTTAGGTAAAGCAGAAAACACCACAGTACAATTGCAATTCACTGGTACATACTCAAGTGAAGTCAAATTTATTTTCCATGCATCAGAAGCAGCTGAGGACTAGGGTTTTATTTAGCTAGCTATTTATTTAGTTATTTATTTTCTTTACAAAAGTATCCAATCAAGTGAAACACAATGAGAAAAACAAATAAATTTGACGTTTCACCATTTTCACGATAAAAAGGTTGAGAAATGAGGGACGAAAAAGAAAAAATGCTTGACATTCACTGAACTTTTTTTTTTTCACCCGCCTTTCTCAGACCAATTTAGTGCTACATTAAGCAGGGCAGACTAGTGAGTGAGTTGCTGAAAATCAGCAAGGAGCATTACTGGTATTCAGAATACAAACTTGTTCCTACTTTCAAACTTAAACACGCATAAATAGTTGCACATCAAATCCTTAAATATTTTCATTAGTAGTAGTTATTTTTGCATTCATATCACTAACTGGACACACAACAGTTTGTCTACATGAACACAGTGTTCTGGAAACAGAGCATGATTTTTTTTTAATTTTACTTTTTTTTAAATAGACACACAGAATACTTAAAATTGCTATAACAATATAAATGGCTCTCAAAAAAGGTCCAGTTGTACAAAAAACCTCATCCTCTAGAGTTTTACAGTTCTCAGGATGCTGATTGAAGTTTGTTTTTTTTTTTTTTAATGTAGTCACAAAGCAGTGGTCTGGAACTTATGTGAAAGGTGAAGAGGGCTACATATGTATGGCACAATAGGCTGTGGAACCATCTATTTGAAGACTACAGATGTGAAACATTCAACAGAAAGACCAAAGGTGACCACACGGTCATGACCATCTAGAATACAGAGTAAAAACCGATCCACTCTCGAGGGTGCTGTAGAAGTGTAATTTTTGATACTGGTATCATCAGTTGCAGCTCAGGTTGACAAGATCCATTCTAAACTTCTTTCTTCACTCATAAGCATATTTTTCCTTTTGGAAATATCTGAGTTGAACAAATCCATGTCTAGTGCCTGTTTCAGGATGATTTGTTCCTCATTTAAATATTAAAATTTTAGCACAAGTGGGCTATCCATTCCTAAGGAATGGGCCCAGGAGAAAAATGCTATTCTGTGTCAAAACGTGTTCAGCCATTGCAGACAACCATTAAAAGCACTGTGCAGAAGCTGTAGCATCATATACTTTGGAAAAAACAGATGGAACTGTGAAGTAGAATCACTTGGGTGTCAGAAAACTAACTTCTGCATTTTTAATGGCAGCCTGTATACATCTGGGCAATTTCAGGCATGCAATGCCAGTTGTACATGTTCTGCAGTACTTGTAGCTAAATTCACTGTTGATTCCGTCTGTGTTGGATAGGTTCTCAAATCAGGATCTGAACACTGTAGGGGAAAGGGGATGCGGCCGCATATTAGATAACTATGATTACAACTGACATCAGCTGTTACTGCAGATGCTGTACATAAAACCTATCAAGATTCCAAAGAAGGAAAAACAATATACACACACATATACATTATAGGCCTGTGTAGCCTTATACATACTTATTTATCTACTTATATTTATATATAAGGCTACACAGGTAAGCCTAAAATAAGTGTTTCTTAACTTTTTTGTACTTGATTTTGCAACCTTAAATTTTCAGTCATGCATTTCATACGAAAAAATCAATTGCAAAGTTCTAAAACGTTAAGAAATTAGGTAGGACATGAAGAAGAAAAAATTCAGAGGTAAGTCATGAAGAATCTCACTTACTGGAAAAAAGACAAAAAAAAAAGAGAGAACAAAAAATGAAAGCTAAATGCAATTAAGTTTATCAGTTTATCAGCCAATGTATCTAAAATCTCCATTAATTCCCTCAGACATTTCCCACATGGACACAGAATATCCACATAGTTTTCACAGAAAAAATACATACATACACACACAGTCCCAATCAGGAAGAGCTCTCAGTTCTGAGAGATGCAAAGAGGCTACATTTCCTTGTATTAAGCACTGTGACTGAGACAGAAATGGATAGAAAATCATTTTATAAAGTAGCAGAAATTCAGACAAAATCATAACACTGATAAATAACCACTAAAATCAAAACCCCAAATATTCTATGATAAAAAACAGGGCTTTAAAAAAAAAAAAGAATAGAATCCCTATCCTGAGAGTCCAGCCAAGCCAACAGGCAGAAATTGCAAAAGGGTCTATTAGGACAGACAAGGATATGGGTTTAGTCCCTTGGCTGCTATGTTCCTCTTCCAAATGGTTGCATGAGCCGTGGGAAGTGCTGCTGCACACATACAGGGAATTTTCACTCTGAGATGGAAGTCATGGCTCCCTGGGCTCCCTCTACCTTTGCTTGCACCCACAGTTACTGTCTTTGAGGAACAGTTTTGCCGAACCACACACAAACCTACTAAACTGACAAAGTGCAGTTCAGGTTATCAATGTACTAACACTCAAATTTATACTGCTGTGTGCAAATAAGTACAGCTGAGAATGCCACTGGCTCCCCAGCAGATCTGCACACAGGTAAAACCAGACCCACTCTAGAAACATCAGTCTCTGAAAGAGAAACAGGGTAAGCAGTTGAAAATGGAATTACCTCAGCTCCATACTGGTAGAACGAGTGAGACCCTTAGTTTTCTGAAAGAAGAGGAAAGGAGTAGCTCCCCATAGCATGGGGAGGCCAGAGACATTTCAGTACACAGAGGTAATGCAGTGCCAGAAGACTACAGGGAAAACTGAGATTCAAATACTCAATTTCCTTCCACTTGTCAAGCTGTCTCAGCAAGACACAATAAAGCTTCAAGGTACAGCAAGCAGGTGATTGAGACCATTACCAGGTTTGGAGCAAGTGAGCAGGGGCCAGGAGGGCAAGGCAAGCCTAGGCTAGAGAACAAGAAGAGAGGACTTGCTAAGAAAGACCTTGCTAAAAAATCTCTCTGAAATCTGATTCCTCTCTATCTCTCCAAAATATAAATTATTTCATCCTGTCTTTGTTGCATTCAGCAGTGTTCTTGCTTGAGGGAATAAGGTCAGGGAGAGTAAATGGCTGTTAGAGCTCTTTTTTTTCGGCAAACACTCTGAAACTGTATCTCATGTGTCACAGTGGCATCATGTGTTGTCCAGGAATAAGCCTTTATGAGATAAAGCTACAACTTCGTGACCCTTTTGTAAGGGAACATGAATAAAAAACCTGTTAAAAAAAAAAAGGCCAATCAACAGATCCATGTCCACTGTAAAAGTAAGAGCTTATTAGTGAAATTCTGTTGTAAGTTATGTTACAGAAGAATTAACAGAATAATTATATTTATTTTCACCAAAACAGCAAAATCTAGCTGAAAACCCAAAGGTAAAACCCAAAGGTAAAACCCAAAGGTAAAAGACTTTTCAGTTTTGTTATGAGTTATCAAGTTAAAGTCAAAATTCATAAAAAGCTATTAAAGGTGTATAAATTATTTTTTCAATTAAAAAAATAATGGTAAAGTAGTAAGCAGTTATAATTTCACTTTATTAATGGTTTTTATGCAGATGCGACTTGACAGGCTTTACAAAATAACATAGCTGTACATTTTGTATACTACAGCAGTACCAGAAATAAATGTGTAAGTTAATTAAGCTGGCCTGCCAACACAGGTGACAAGCCTGCCAACACTGCTTGCCAATCACAGGTGACAAACAGTAACATCTCTACCTTTTCCAATTCTAATCCTCCCCTTTCTGGCATTACACTCCCTTTCCTCTGCCCTCAGTTCATGTGCAACACAGTAAAACACCAAGCCCTTTATTGACTTCTCTCTTCTTTCTCCTGATACTGAAAGCACTTATTCAAACACACCTTCAGCCTGGACTTCTTAAAACTAAGTGGGCATTTTTACCATTCTGCAGATATTGGTCTAAGAGTTAAAGTTATCCACAGAAAACTGTGTTATGGCATACATACAGTCATGACTACAGCCAATCTCCAACACACGCTGGGTCCTTCTGGTACATTTAAGGCATAATTACCCTTAGCAAAGAAAAATATTTTTTTAATTGCTATTACAGTACTGAAATCTGCAGGCCTTATAACTCAAAGACATTCCCAAAAGAAACACTTTCCCATGGAACTAAAATATGGATATTGAAAAAAATCTTTCTGAGAAAGCTACAGCTCTCTTTAACATGCGAGGAATCACGTGCTATGGGTTTTCCTGGGGGGTTCAGGTTTTGGGAGCATGGGGGTTAATAGCTTAGATTTAATATGAAACAAAGTTTGGCATCGTCCATAAATCTACAGCAAAGCAAACACACTGAAGTGCCCTCAGCTCTTAGGAAAGGTCAAAGGAGTCTCCTAAAGAGGTTTAAAGACAAAGGAGGTTAACAATCAAAGCTGGGCAGGAGGACATTAGATACTCATTAAAAAAAAATGAAAGACCAGAAATCTCTCTCTCTTTAAATTTAGTATCTGCCCAACAGGCCACAGCTTGTTTGGTTTACATTGTCCAAGGACTTGCCAAGGGCTGAGCTCTACAGTTCTTTGCAAATGAAATCACAGAGTTCCCTCTAACCTAAGTTTCATTATTCAGCACTTCAAAGTAGAGCTACAGTAAACAGTAAAATGGAGTAATGAGTAATAAGGAATAGAGGGGTATGTTTTGAACCAAATTCAGAAGTGATCATTAATGGTAAATAACAAAGTCAAAAGACAATAAAGATTTCCTGATTTAATTTAAAAATTAATGTAGA